TATATCTTGTGTTGTTGGGTGCCTGTCCAATTTGTTATATATATCTTGTGTTGATCGGTGCATGTCCAATTTGTTTTATAAATATCTTGTCTTGTTGGGTGCCTGGCCAATTTAATAAAAATATATATCTTGTCTTGTTGGGTACCTGTCCAATTTGTTATATTTCTCTTGTGTCGTTGGGTGCCTGTTCAATTTGTTATATATATCTTATGTTGTTGGGTGCCTGTCAAATTGTTATATATATCTTGTGTGTTGTTATATTATGTGCCTGTCCAATTTGTTATATATATCTTGTGTTGTTGGATGCCTGTCCAATTTGTTATATATATGTTGTGTTGTTGGGTGCCAGTTCAATTTGTTATATATATCTTGTGTTGTTGGGTGCCTGTCCAATTTGTTATATATATCTTGTTTTGTTGGGTGCCTGTCCAATTTGTTATATATATCTTGTGTTATTGGGTGCCTGTCGAATTTGTTATATAAATATCCTCCCTGTCCAAGTTGTTATATTTTTCTTGTGTTGTTGGTTGCCTGTCCAATTTGTTATATGTATCTTGTGTTGTTGGGTGCCTGAAATATATATATATAAAATGTATAGATCTTGTGTTGGTGGGTGCATGTCCAAGTTGTTATATTTTTCTTGTGTTGTTGGGTACCAGTCCAATTTGTTATATGTATCTTGTGTTGTTGGGTGTCTGACCAATTTGTTATATCTTGTGTTGTTGGGTGCCTGTCCAATTTGTATATGTATCTTGTCGTGTTGGGTGTCTGTCCAATTTGATATATGTATCTTGTCTTGTTGGGTGTCTGTCCAATTAGTTATATATATCTTGTGTTGTTGGATGCCTTCCAATTTGTTATATATATGTTGTGTTGTTGGGTGCCGGTTCAATTTGTTATATATATCTTGTGTTGTTGGGTGCCTGTCGAATTTGTTATATAAATATCCTCCCTGTCCAAGTTGTTATATTTTTCTTGTGTTGTTGGTTGCCTGTCCAATTTGTTCTTTGTATCTTGTGTTGTTGGGTGCCTGACCAATTTGTTATATATATCTTATGTTGTTGGGTGCCTGTCAAATTGTTATATATATCTTGTGTGTTGTTATATTATGTGCCTGTCCAATTTGTTATATATATCTTGTTTTGTTGGGTGCCTGTCCAATTTGTTATATATATCTTGTGTTGTTGGGTGCCTGTCGAATTTGTTATATAAATATCCTCCCTGTCCAAGTTGTTATATTTTTCTTGTGTTGTTGGTTGCCTGTCCAATTTGTTATATGTATCTTGTGTTGTTGGGTGCCTGACCAATTTGTTACATCTTGTGTTGTTGGGTGCCTGTCCAATTTGTATATGTATCTTGTGTTGTTGGGTGCCTGTCCAATTTGTTATATATATATATCTTGTATTGTAAGGTGCCTGTCCAATTTGTTATATATATCTTGTCTTGTTATGTGCCTGTCTAATTTGTTATATTTATCTTGTGTTGTTGGGTGCCTGTCCAATTTGTTATATATATCTTATAGTGTTGGGTGATTGTCCAATTTGTTATATATATCTTGTTTTGTTGGGTGCCTGTTCAATTTGTTATATTTATCTTGTGTTGTTGGGTGCCTGTCCAATTTGTTATATAAATATCTTGTCTTGTTGGGTGCCTGTCCAATTTGTTATATTTTTCTTGTGTTGTTGGGTGTCTGTCCAATTTGTTATATGTATCTTGTGTTGTTAGGTGCATGTCCAAGTTGTTATATGTATCTTGTGTTGTTGGGTGCCTATCCAATTTGTTATATGTATCTTGTGTTGTTGGGTGCCTGAAATATATATATATAAAATGTATAGATCTTGTGTTGGTGGGTGCATGTCCAAGTTGTTAGATTTTTCTTGTGTTGTTTGGTACCAGTCCAATTTGTTATATGTATCTTGTGTTGTTGGGTGCCTGACCAATTTGTTATATCTTGTGTTGTTGGGTGCCTGTCCAATTTGTATATGTATCTTGTGTTGTTGGGTGCCTGTCCGATTTGTTATATATATCTTGTCTTGTTGGGTGCCTGTCCAATTTGATATATGTATCTTGTCTTGTTGTGTGTCTGTCCAATAAGTTATATATATCTTGTGTTGTTGGGTGCCTGTCCAATTTGTATATGTATCTTGTGTTGTTGGGTGCCTGTCCGATTTGTTATATATATCTTGTCTTGTTGGGTGCCTGTCCAATTTGATATATGTATCTTGTCTTGTTGTGTGTCTGTCCAATAAGTTATATATATCTTGTGTTGTTGGATGCCTGTCCAATTTGTTATATATATATCTTGTCTTGTTGTGTGCCTGTCCAATTTGTTATATATATATCTTGTCTTGTTGGGTGCCTGTCCAATTTGTTATATATATCTTGTCTTGTTGTGTGCCTGTCCAATTTGTTATAAATATCTTGTTTTGTTGGGTACCTGTCCAACTCGTTATATATATCTTGTGTTGTTGGATGCCTGTCCAATTAGTTATATATATTTTGTGTTGTTGGGTGCCTGTCCAATTAGTTATATATATATCTTGTGTTGTTGGATTCCTGTCCAATTAGTTATATATATATTGTGTTGTTGGATGCCTGTCCAATTTTGTATATATATCTTATGTTCTTTAGTGCCTGTGCAAATTTATTTTATATATATTGTTTTGTTGGGTGCCTGTCCAATTTGTTATGTATATCTTGTGTTGTTGGATGCCTGTCCAATTTGTTATTTATATTTTATGTTGTTTGGTGCCTGTCCAATTTATTTTATACATATTGTGTTGTTGGGTGCCTGTCCAATTGATGTTTACTTCACTAACAGGACACATTAGATTTGCTAGTACATAGTAGAGCTGGTCAGTTTTTAATTGTTGAAGGTCAGTGGTTTACCCCACACTGACTACTATTTTTTTCTTACTTGATTACACTGACAGTTATAAAATTGTACAAAGGTTTTAATCTCAGTAAATAAAAAAAAAAGATTTGTTTATAGATATGTTTAATATTTTTTTTGATACGATCAGTTTTACATGTATAAATAGAAACTTAAAGGTTTACATGTTTAATTGTATCCTTCAAAGTACAATGTACTTACTTTTTTTAACTTCATCATTAAATAAATACAAAAAATCAGTATTGAAAATAATAAATTAGATTAAATCACATAGTTTTAATACTATTTAATATTACCCTGACTTTGACAACAATTTGATAATCATCACAGAATAAACAACAACTTATAAGTCAGATATACAATGGTATTCTTTTGGCATATATAAAACTTTGCCATTTTGAAAGTTTAAGTTTCTGTTTTTGATTTTGTGAATGAGGAAATGTAAGTATAAATAATTTGCCTGATGTGGTATGACCAGGTAATATATCATTAAACTTTTAACAAGACAAAAACAATATTTTGATTAACATGAAATGCACAGGTCTGTTTTTTAATCACATTGGTTTTGCATTTTATAAATAATGCACAATGTCTTGGTTTAAAATAATGAAACTATACTGTGTATAAATATTTGTTTTATAATCATCAATAAATAGTCAATGACAAGTATTTAGTCTAGATTAATAGTCAATGACAAGTATTTAGTCATCAATTAATAGTCAATGACAAGTATTTAGTCATCAATAAATAGTCAATGACAAGTATTTAGTCATCAATAAATAGTCAATGACAAGTATTTTATCATCAATAAATAGTCAATGACAAGTATTTAGTCATCAATAAATAGTCAATGACAAGTATTTAGTCATCAGTAAATAGTCAATGACAAGTATTTAGTCATCAGTAAATAGTCAATGACAAGTATTTAGTCATCAGTAAATAATCAATGACAAGTATTTAGTCATCAGTAAATAGTCAATGACAAGTATTTAGTCATCAGTAAATAGTCAATGACAAGTATTTAGTCATCAGTAAATAGTCAATGACAAGTATTTAGTCATTAATAAATAGTCAATGACAAGTATTTAGTCATCAATAAATAGTCAATGACAAGTATTTAGTCATCAATAAATAGTCAATGACAAGTATTTAGTCATCAATAAATAGTCAATGACAAGTATTTAGTCATCAATAAATAGTCAATGACAAGTATTTAATCATCAGTAAATAGTCAATGACAAGTATTTAGTCATCAGTAAATAGTCAATGACAAGCATTTAGTCATCAATAAATAGTCAATGACAAGTATTTAGTCATCAGTAAATAGTCAATGACAAGTATTTAGTCATCAATAAATAGTCAATGACAAGTATTTAGTCATCAATAAATAGTCAATGACAAGTATTTAGTCATCAATAAATAGTCAATGACAAGTATTTAGTCATCAGTAAATAGTCAATGACAAGTATTTAGTCATCAGTAAATAGTCAATGACAAGCATTTAGTCATCAGTAGAATTTACACTCTGACTTAAAAGTTTAAAAATATGTGTATTGTCAGCTAGATAGTGACAACTAATAAATAAATATATTTTTTATGGATGATAATTAGAAATTTGAATTCAAAATAAGCCTCTAGCACCTCAGAGAAATAACCTGCTATTATTAGTATGAACAGCTTTCTATTTTTCTAATAATATTGATCCTTTCCATAATGCGATTTCTGAAAACTTAAATTTGAATATAGAATTTTGATTTGATGTGAATTACCTTCCTTTCTTTTAATTTATCATGGTTAATTGCCATGAGAAGCAATGTTGAGAAGCATATATATATTCCCTATAATTTTCATGTCATATTTGTATATGGATGATATGAGCTTTTTGACTACATTAAGTTTCTTTGTATCAAGCATTTATCTAGCTAAATTTCAATACTGAGTAGAGAAAATAGTTCTACATACTTTTCTCAATTGCACTTTATTACAGGGAACCAGTACACAGTGGTTGTCAACATTGCACTTTATTTCTGGGAACCAGTGCTTTGTGATAGGAATAGGAAATTTAAGAAATTGTAGAAAATGAAACTAATGAATTATGACACTGGTTTTATGTTTCATGAGAAGCTGCATGTACACTTGCTTTTTCCAAAGTATCAAAAACTAGAGAACAAATTCCACACATGAAAACAGCTTCGGAACTATTAGTCTCAGTTGTAACAGGGTCAGCACTATTTCCCGATGTTGATATAATGTTGGATAATGTTTTATTAGAACAGTTGTCGGAGTGACGTTTGAGAGATGATTTAGTGGTAAAGATTTTACCACAACTGTTACATACATATTTCCCTTCTCCTGTATGAGTGATAAAATGTTCATCTAATTTGGCTCTGAATGAAAACTCCTTTTGACAAACTCCACATTTAAAAGGTTTGACTGGTTCATGTGTGATGAGATGTCGCTTAAGTCCAATACGGTGAGCAAACGAACAACAACAAATATCACATTTAAAAGGTCTATTTCCTGTATGTGTGTTTACATGATCATCTAACGTAGCCTTGTTATAAAACTGTTTTTTACATATATGACAGGAATGGGGGAGATTTTTCTCTGATTTTGGTTTGTGTGACTCCATGTGTAATTTTAACTTATAACGTTCTAAAAATTTCCATCCACATATTTCACAGGAATGCTTTTTATTTCCGTCTGAATGTCTTTTGATGTGCATACTAAGGTAACGTTTCAGTGCAAACTCCTTCCCACATATATAACATTCATTTGGACCATGGCATTCTTCCACATGTTGATTTAGAAACTTACTGTTCTGAAAAACCCTTGTGCAGAAAGAACATTTAAAACTTGACAGTTTCAACATTTTGGGACTTGGATGTTTTCTATGTGTCCGTTTGCAATGTTCTATAAGTTCTTCGTGAGTTGCAAAGGTTTCGTTACAATCCAAACATCTGATTGATACTGATCCTTTGATGACATTGACATCCTCCTCTTTTATTGGCTGCTCTAAAATGTCATCTTGATGGTCCATTGTTGAACTTTTATCTTCTGTAATATAAAGAGGCTAAATTACTGTTTACACACATAAAAATATAGAATGGCGAATGCTTGGTGTCCAGTACAGTCTGCACCAAAATCTTTTCCAACTACTAGTCCGAAGACCAATATTCTGACATTTTTCGGATGTGTCTAAATAAACGTTTGCAAATAGTTACTAGCCCAAATAAAATTTTACTAGTCTGGGGCATCGGACTAGTGGTTAATGGTGCAGACTGCCAGTAGTAGATTAAACATGATTATGAACCTTGTTTTCCATTAAACAGAAGAACATGCCAGATCTTAATGTGCTTGTTCAAAAGAAAACAGCTCAAAGAAAAATGTCACTTACTAGGTCTGAGCAGACACTTACTTCAAAATACTGCATACTTTACAAAGAAGCAGCAATTTAAATGAAAGTCCATTAGTCTGACCCAACTTGTGAGGGGGGCTAGGGTTTGATCCCATGAGACCAGAGAGGCAGTTTGTAAAATAAAATCCTTATTCTTCTGGAGGCAATATTGGTTTGCATGAAATGAAAAAATATTCATTCTCAGTTGTTTTGAATCCACTTAACAATCATGTATCTGAGACCCCAGTGGCAGAGTGATCTAAGTAGTTCATCTACAGTTATCACTAGCCTGTCAACACTGAGGTTGTGTAGGAGCCTTGGTGGCAGATTAGTCTAAGTAGTACATCTACAGTTATCACTAGCCTGTCAACCCTCAGCTTGTGAGTTTAAAACCTGTTCTTGTGTTGCACTCTGATCTTAAATGACAAGGGTTGCCAGTTTTCCTGCTATAGGTCTTAGTTCTCTTCGGTTACTCCAACTTCCTCGAATAAAATATAAACTGACCTCCATGATACAACCACGGTCTATGAAAGTATCATTAAACACCAACAAACAAACAAACAAACAATAATTCATTTTAAAACTTGTACCCATTCAGTTTTTTTAAATATTAGGGGATAAAACAATCTTTATCACTTAGTCCAAAATAATTTGGTTTTCTTGGCAGAGAATAGTGGTCTTGTTCAATTCTTAAAGACTAGAAGTGATCAAGAGCCAGAAATGTAATGTGAGTGTTTGGATCGGGTTCACAGAATAGATAGATATAAGAAGATGTGGTATGAGTGCCAAACAGACAACTCTCTATCCAAGTCAAAATTTATAAAAGTAAACCATTATAGGTCACAGTACGGTCTTCAACACAGAGCCTTGGCTCACACCGAACAGTAAGCTATAAAGGGCCCCAAAAAGTACTAGTGTAAAACCATTCAAACGGGAAAACCAACGGTCTAATCTATATAAAAAATGAGAAACGAGAAACACTTATGAACCACATCAACAAACGACAAGAGTATAGTAAGCCAAAAGAAATAATGGAGAAAAATGGGTAAAATAAATTAGAATAAAGAATAGTGGGTTTCTAAAATATAAAGAATGGACTATATATAATAGCCTAAACAAAATGGCATAAAAAATTGAAGAATACAGAAAATAAATGTCCCAATCGGGACCCTCTTATATCGACACTTTACAATCCTTGAAGTACTATGTTGACCTCTAAATGTTATTTACGCTACTGGATGTAAAGCACCAATCAATCCATCTACATATGTTTTACAATGTCGTTGGGTGAGTGTCTCATGAATAAATACAACATACCTCCTTTTATCTTTTGTTCATAGGAAATTCAGCTGAACAATATATACATACAAAGGAGGGTGATACCCCCCCCCCCTTTTTCCCTCCCTCCTTATGGTGCTACATATGGTAAATGTAAAGATTTTATACAAGTCACACTCCTAACTTTGTCTTGCCGCCCGGCCATCGGTAATTATAGACTATGCATTCAAAGCTTTTGTCTCATGTAAATCAACCCAATCGCTTTTTTTTCCTTTTTCATAATGAATATATCATACAGTACTACACCTCATCTAAATTGTGTCATTTCCGTATGTCCAACATGGGAAGCTCATTCATGTCTACTCAAATTAACCCTCAGTTCTTTTAAAGAATACAAATCCTTGACTTATTTTCAAATTTTCAAAAATAAAAACAGGGTATTATATGTCAAATTTTTATGACGAGACATGAAATGGCATTATTTCAAAATGTGGTCGCAGTGGACAATCAAGATATATTTCCACTCCCACGCTGGATAGGTGGAAAGGACAGAATTCACAAACATGACCTGTAGTGTAAAATACCTGAAGGTTTACTCTGATCCTCAAATATATATAAAACACCTGCAGAATTAGGTTCCCCATTTATAGTACTCGTATTACAGTGTAGAACCTGAAAAAAATAAAGTTAAAATATATTTTGTATGCTGTGTGCTTATGTAACATTAAACTGCCATTAATCAATCAATATGTCTTGACTTAATCACTTTATGTACTAATATACATGTTATAATATGCCTCCGGGTGCAGGATTTTCTCACTGTTTTGAAGACCCATTGGTGGCCTTGGGCTGTTTTCTGCTCTTTGGTTGGGTCGTTGTCTCTTTGACACATTCCCCGTTTCCATTCTCAATTTTATGTGTATATATATATATACCTTTTAGAGATTATGCATCATATTGATAACTTTCAGGGAACCAGTCACACTTATACATACCTTTAAAAGATTGTGTATTGAATTAATGCCTTTCAGGAAACAGTTACACTTATACATACCTTTAACAGATTGTGCATTGTATTGATGCCTTTCAGGGAACCAGTTACACTAATCTCATCATTTTGACATTCTGCTATAACATTTGATGTTTTACATAAAGATAAATATTTCTCTGTACCAATGTTTGGTTTTCTTTTAAAAACTGCTGTCACTGAACTAAAAATCTGAAAATAAGATGGATATAATATTGTCATTGTTCATTACACAGAGAAAATATTCTCAGATACATGTACCTAAATCGTTTTATACATTTGGGTCCAAATAATCATTTTTGAAGTTACAAATTTTGTCAATTATTGTCTATACCCCTTTATGACTTTTCTGTAATAGGTGTTGATTCCATATATTTGATTGTTTAATGAATTTCTTCATAACTTGCCTGTATTCCGGTCATTTTGTTTACTCCATCATGAATGTATACATAACATCCTGTTGATCGTGGAGGACTGTCGTAACCTCTAGATTTCTATTTCATGTCTCGTTTGATTTGCACAAACTAACCTATCATGATCAGTTTATCTATAATCATGATAATAATTGATAAAGAAGATGAAAAGATCCCAATTATTACATTTCTCATCATATACCAACTATTAACAGTAGAAAACAAAAAGACAGAATAACAAACATGTCACGATTTTTTTGGTAAAAATATTTTCCATCAGTCTTCTTATTGTTACCTTTTGTCCTATTTTGGACCATTTCATTATTCAAATGAGTAAACTCAGGTTAATGTCAGATGCAGATTTTATATTTTATTAGATTGCTTTTTTTATACGAATGTTTTAAGCTGTGATTCATGGATACTATTCATTGCTGCAAAATTGAATGATGAATTATTTATTTTATTATCAAGACTATAAGGACTCCATTGGAAATAAGCTAGTTTGCTTTCATGTGTCATCCTTTGTTTAAGGCATAAAAGATGTACCTAAAGTCACAATCATTACTAGATTTTAAGGTTGTATTTAGTCAAGTTTTTAAAACTTATTATGTATTTGTATATATTGCCTTTACCTGAATAAACATTATTATTCTGAAAGCCTTATTTACTTACATGTATCTAAGGATTAAGTGCTATCATATTAAAGTTGTAATTGGCCTTTTTATGTACTAAATCCAATAAACGGCCTTTAAAATTTACATGTTCCATGCTGTACAGTAATATCCCACAAAGCCAATCATTTACAAATATAAATCAGTTAGTGGATTCATTATTATTTGTTGGGTACCAATTTTCAAAGATTTTGTGGGTATATATGTAAACCATGAATTTCAATATTCAACCAAGTATAAAATTTATAAAGAATTGTATACAGACTGGCAAATCCATCAAATCAAACACTGTAAACCAATGTATTTTCGTGAATACTTTATTCAGCGTTTAGCCCTTCCCAGTTGACTTCGAGGTGATTGGTTTTTTGCGATTTTCTATACTGTGGATTCATTTATTTTCGTGGGTATCAATTTTCGTGGATTGCTAAAAACTTGCATTTTCGTGGATATTTTATTTTCGTCGTTTTGTCGATCTCTGTTTACAAAGCCCATTAAAAATATGCTATTCGTTGAACTTTTGAATTCGTGGTTCCCTTGTACCCACTAAACCCACGAAAATTGGTATCCAACGAATATTAATGTATCCACACCATATGGATGGATCAAAGTTTTACAAATTTGCGACAATCTAAATTCGTGTTATTTTTCTACTTGCTAAAATCATGAGAATAATTCGCTCATGAATATTAGTTGGTTTACAGTTCATTTTTATCTACGAAAACATAATTTTTGATCAATCTACGAAAATAGGAACCCACAAAAATAAATGAATCCACAGTTAATACCTGATTTGAGGGTGTTTAAAAAAAAGTATTTTCTTTCACCAAAAATTGCAGCCATTTTATAAACTAAGGAGATTTTATATGACTTCCAAAGAGACAACTATCCAACAGAGTCCAAATGAAGCAGATTTAAACAACTATAGGTCACAGTTCAACCTTACCTCCTTTTCGTTTGTACTGCAGTGTTCTGAAGAATCCACTATTTTCATCTTAGGTTTAGAAAGCCCCTCTTCTGTAGAAGGAATAACTTGTTGCTTATGTCTGTTTGACCGGCCAGCCACCTCTTGATCTGACTTCATTATCTGGAGATTTGGCTGGGGTTTGTTTGAAGGTTCAGCGACCTCTTGACCTAACTCCATTATCTCCACATTAGGCTGGGGTTTGTTTGAAGGTTCAGTGACCTTTTGACCCGACTTCATTATCTGAACATTTGGATTACCATCTGATCGATCAATACGAACTGCAATCACATTCTCTCGAACGCTCTGACTAACATTCTGAGATGTAATGTAAATCTGAGCATTTTGAGAAGGTCTTTCTGGTAAGGTATTCTTGTCCTGTGTATCTTTGCTGGTCTTCTCCTGTGTACCTTTACTGGTACTAGTATTCAAGGTTAACAAACTTCTGGCAGCCATACTGGTATAGTCCTCCTCACAAGGTTCCATCTTTTAGTTTTCTGTAAAAATATTTTAAACGCTGCAAAAAAAGACAATAAATCTTTTATGGTTTTCATTTCAAGGTATTAATACACTGTTAAATCTTAATTAAGCTCATCATAAGAATTTGCACAAAACACCTTCAAAGCTGGCCTTTATCTTTAGAGAAATAGAAATTAGACAAAAAAAATTGAATTTTACAAGTTTAGAAAGTCATGTTTGGAATCAAAGGTTACCAATTTATAGTCATGACGGTTAACTGATACATTCAAGATTCATTTTAAGAGTAAAGATTAATCAATGACCTCCCTTCAAACATACAATGTAGCAGCCACCATTAAACATTTGTAAAGGGTTCCTAGATATAGTGTGTCTCATCTGTAACTGCTTCTGTCAGAGTTTTGGGTTAAAGTGTAATGTTGACTGCCAAAAATTTAAGTCAATTTATTCAAAAATAACTCTCAATATTTTATCCAGATGCTATCTTTTGATCATGAATAAGCTCCCGTCCAAATTTTGTTAAATTCCATGAAGGTTTGACATAGTAATTGCTGTATATAAAACTTTTACCACAGACATGACAGACACAACCTAAAATACATAAACAAAACATCATCAATGATCCATAAAAATGAGGTCAAGGTAAAATGAACCCTGCCAGACAGACATGCACCCATTCAAATCCTACAATACACTAAATAAAGTTGACCTAACTTTTAGTTTCTGAGAAACTGACCTTAACATTCTCTCCTTATATTGTCAGACTTTTTAAATTTATGCCAAAATAATGGAATTAACTCTTAAGAACTTAAGAACTAGAATTAAGATCTTATTATAATAATCTTTTTTTGGCGTTTAAAATACTCATGCATCATACCTAAGGCCCTTCAAGGGCTTGTCTCTTTGACACATTCCCTGTTTCCATTCTCAATTCTGTGATATGACAAAACTTTATTTCACAGTACATTGTACAATGTTCGATAACCAGGCTTTGCCTCTTTAAGACTTGTTAAGATTCAAAATCATTGCTGCTGATTTATCAAACTCATTAAATTGACATCCAAACTGAAGAAAACCTACAGTCAAGAAATGCAAGTTTTATTGTTGTAAAAGAGAAGGATGACTCATTAATTTAAAGAGACAGCTGGGCATCAGATAAAAAGTCCTTTTAATGCAATGGCTAAAGCTTGGACCATGTGCTTCATACAGAATCAAAATTTGCATAAATAGGCCAACAAACAGTCTATATCTTTTATTAATCAAACAAATTTGAAGAGTGTGTAGAAATTACAATTTCTAAGCTATCACTGGTCAACACACCGGTGGTGAGTGAAGCAAGGCTTCCAAAACGGTCATATATTCCGGACATTTGTATAATGTCCGGTAAAAGTCGAATTACTTCGAATTTGAATCAAAGAAAGTTTAATATCGTTTTTTTTTAATGTCAATCATTGGGATGGCCAACTCAGCAACTGAATACCATAATTGCCTTTTGTTTATTTAGTCTTAAGGGATTAAAATCGGGATAATATATAAAATGTCCAGCTGGCTAAAAATAATTTTGGAAGCCCTGGAGTGAAGCCATAAAATTTTTATCATAAGTCAAAAAATAGTATTACAACACAATCATAATAATAAAACTTATAAAACCAATCAACAACAGATTTGTCTTATCGGGTAAAATGATCTGTAAACAATAAACGTTCTGGTTATAAAGAATTCTAGTCTTACAGATTTCTGGTTAAATTTCACCTGGAATTTTATACTGCGAAAGTGAAGGAGAAAATACAGAACACTTCTTATGCAACTGTACAAGATACCAACAAGAAAGAAAAGAGATGATATGACACATGGAACATCCCAACAGATATGAGAACACTACTGGCACCAACAAAGAAAGAGACCTACGAAAGAATAGCACATAGTATAGGAGCAAATTTAGAGCAGAGAGCGATTTTGAGATCTAGTAAGCCCTGAATCCTGATCCTGCACATAAAAAAGTATACCAAAGTACAGCAATTTATTATTATGAGAAATACACTGTAGTGCTCCAAATTAAGATAAAATTAATAGTACCATAAGACAAGTTGTGTCAATGTATTGACCTTAGGATCAGGATGCTAGGATAAAATTTTATAAGTCGGATCAAACATAAACCAATATATACAATGTTTTGACTAAATATGATAGCACCACCGCTAGACTGACAGGTGCTCAGAAAGTATAGGTCTTTTAAGGGCCTTGGGAGAACACAATCTTTAGATGGAACAATGAAAATGTGGCCAAGGTCAGATGAACCCTGCTTAACCCAACTCCACATCCTGGATCGATGTTTGGGTATGACAATGACTGAAATACAAGGAAACAAAGAAGTTGATAATACAAATTTTGACTTTTTTCTAGGCAAATATTTTTTATTGTGAGTTGCAGGAACCTGTCTCGGTTTAATTGTTGACATCTTTATCCTTTGGTCTTACTCTTAATGAATTTTTGCTTCATTAGCAACCCTACCACATCCTTATTTTTAAACATGTTATATGACCGTATATTTTTTCATAACAGACTCAAGATCATAAAGAGAGCGAACAGTAGCATGGAGCATAGGAAAGGAAACACATTGTCTTTGGTTCATGTCTATCTGGGCCTCGGTGGCTGAGTAGTTTAAGTAGTTGAACTACTGTATCACTAGCCTGTTAACACTGAGGTTGTGAATTCGAATCCCCCATGTGGCCGGTGGGCTCGACTGCAATCTTAATTGACTAGGATTGTCATTTTTCCTACCGAAGGCACTCCATCTTCCTCAAACAATAAAAACTGACTGCCACGAAATAGCACAATAGTGTTGAAAGTGGCGTTAAACACCAATCAATCAATCAATCAATTCATGTCTGTCATATTGTTCATGAATTAGGCTGTTAGTTTTATTTAATTGAATTGATTCACAGTGTCATATAACTGGAGATATAGAGGTAGTCTAACTGTTTGAGTTAGGGAAGATCTTCTTAAGCTCAATCGGTTAGAGTGCAGCCTTTTGATCCCGAGATTGAGGGTTCAACATCTCGCTGGTACCATCCATGTATTTTCACGATGACATTTTTCATGTCTGGGCTTTTATACCCGACTATACGGTTTGAGTTTTTCTCATTGTTGAATGCCGTACGGTTGCCTATAATTATTTACATCTACTTCATTTGAACTTGTCTCCTTATTTTTAAACATATGTCTATGATATGTATATTATATAAACGCGGAATGTGGGAAATCATGTTTACCACCGTCTTAATGAAATATGGATTAATCTGTCATCCTGAATTGTGAGAAAATCATACATTTGGTGTAAGTACGGTATCCACCGTGAAAGTTGGAGTCAGGCAACAGTTGAGACTTGAGTGTAATTCTACTTCCTGTTAGTCAATCAAAGAATATCTAAATACCCTAAATTAAAAACAAAAACAGGATAACAACGGTCATAATTTGAAATTATCTCCCTTGAGAAACAGACTTTTAATAGGTTAAAAGGATGAAATTCACTGAATACATAATTCTGGTCTAAATGTTAACAAAAAATTATTTTTTATGCCCCCGCCGTAGCGGTGGGGGCATTAAGTTTTACCCTTGTCCGTCTACAGGTACGTACGTATGTCCCAAAATTGGTTTCCGTTCTCTAACTTGAGTTTGCCTCAACCAAATGTTATGAAACTTATACACAATGCTTATTATCACAAAACACAGATCAAGTTTGAATTTTGGTGGCGTCACTTTAACGGTTCTAGAGTTATGCCCCTTTATAAATGGAAAAATTGCAAAATGTTAGGTTCCGTTCTCTAACTTAAGTTTGCCTCAACCAAATGTTATGAAACTTATACACAATGCTTATTACCACAAAACACAGATCAAGTTTGAATTTTGGTGGCGTCACTTTAACGGTTCTAGAGTTCTGCCCCTTTATAAATGGAAAAATTGCAAAATTTTTATTTTCTTCTAAATATCAAGTAATTTTTAAAATTTGAGTTATCTTCCTTTGTACATGATTATAGTTGAATCAACTACAATCAATGCTTCATACAATGCAATGTTTAATTTTGACTTCCACTGATAAAACACAGATCAAGTTGAATTTGGGTAGTGTCACTTTAACCATTATTGAGTTATGCCCCTTTATAAATCGAAAGATTACAAAATTTTTAGTTTCCATTCTGTAACTTAAGTTTGCCCCAACCAAACATTATGAAACCTATACACAATATTCATTACCACAAAAGTAAGATCAAGTACAAATGTTTTGTTTCCGTTTTCTATCTTTAGTTTGCCTCAACCAAATGTTATGAAACTTATACACAATGCTTATTACTACATAATACAGATTAAGTACGAAATTTGGTGGCGACATTTACCATTCTTGAGTTATGTCCCTTTTTTTATAAAAGATGAGACACAATAATTAAGAAAACAGTGAATTTAGTAGATAGTGCCAAGTACTTGGGAGTTTCAATATCGAACAATCTCTCATGGAACAAACATATACAGAATGTTACAGCAAAGGGTAACCGAACACTTGGTTTTGTTAAACGGAACATAAAAGAGTGTACAAGAAAAGAAAAGGCTTCTGGCTATATAACTATAGTACGACCTGTCATAGAGTACGCTTCTACTATATGGGACCCAACCAACCAAGCAAACATTAACACACTAGAACTTATTCAGAGGAGAGCTGCTAGATTTGTCTATAATGACTACACATCACGTACACCAGGGTGTGTCACTACAATGCTAGAAGAGCTAAAATGGGACACATTACAGACAAGATGCTGTGATAACAGGCTATGCATGCTCTATCGTATTCAGAATGAGCTGATAGACATCAACAAGAGTACTTACCTCAAAGGTGGCGACAGTTGAACTCGTGGTAGACACAAGTTTTACCCGGGCAACAGAGGATCACCAGTGATGTCTACAGGAACTCATTCTTTCCAAGAACAATCATGAAATGGAATACATTATACCTGCCAAGGTTGCTGAAGCGGGATCTGTTGAGATCAGTTGAAGATTTCCGCTCAGGGCTACAGACAATACATTAATACCAGACTCAATGCCGATTGTACATAATTTTAACCGTAACAACCTGATTTTATTTTAAATATTGTATATAGCCTTAGGGGACTAGGTTTGTAATGTCACCATGCGTAGTCCCGCAGAGTTTAAACGTTTCGTTTAGGAACCCAACTCTTATATGGAAGAAGAAGAAGAAAATCAAAATATAAGTGGCATTTAAAAAGTATTTCCAGATCTTTAGTGGACAACCATTTGATATTCTAGGGGATTGGGGATTTTTAGCGGATTGATTAATCATTCAATTTCATCTGTCGCTACTCATACTTTTTTTTCTGCTTTGCAGAGCGAATTTTTCTTCTTTCTTCAATTAAGCATACAACTATGGCATGGCCTGTATTTTGTGTTGCAGAATATTCATTTTCATCCAGTCTTGGGCAAAGTTTATTTATTTTCAGGTTTTACCGGACCAGGACATTCATTTTCAATATCCTCCTGCCCTCTAAAATCAAATGGTCGTCACCATACTATCCGAGTATAGATATGAGTCGTTAATAATCATTGACGATCAAATAGTTCAACACCATCCCTTTCAGTGATAGACAACAACAACAATTATAACAACCACAACTATTACAAATTTAAATTCTTGTTTAAATTCTTGTACACTCATTTTATGTCTCCTATGATGTTATTTACATACAAAAAATATTCATACAAAGTGTATTTTATTTTTTTCAGTTATTCATTATTTGTATGTAAAAGGCGTTCTACGAAAACTGTTGCAAAACTTGTGTCTGATCCTATTGTCAATGTTTTTTGGACAATAAAATATGTTTAAAATTTAAATTATTACAAAAAAAACAACAATAACAACAAACAATGAAATAATAATAATTAAACAAAATAATGACGACGACGACGACGACGGACGCTGGCGATGACCATAACGCACACAGTTGCTGATCATGAGTAATAGTTGCTAAACCGCATTACGCTACAAAAGCAATCGGCAATCCTCCGGTGAATCCGCTATCGGCCGAGTTGTGACGAATGGCTACAAAAGTAGTGGAACTCCAGATAGTGGAGGGAAGAACAAAGAAGAAGTAAAGATGACAACGATGACGATGACGACGACGAGGCCCCTGAATAAAATTTATAATTTAATACAACCACAAATTAAAAAGGACAAGTACTTTTAAATCAAATCGAATATTAAATTTAAGAATAAACTTAAAACTGACTGTGATTACTGGCACATGATCTGCCAACCTCGACTTACACTTAAATTGGTTTTTCAACTATAACTTTATGTTTCTGGTTTGACTGATTTAAACTATTTGGATCTCCAAGACCTGGGACAGACTAGCTCGCCTTGCCAAAATATGCAACGCTAATGATTAAAATCACACAGGCAATATTGGCAGATGTCTTTCAAACGGCTTTAAATAAGGTAGTTACCAAATTTGTTTCAGGTCAACTCGGAGAATATTTTTCTATCATGTACTAGTACATGTTCTATAACCTTAATAAGGAGTCAATAGACGATTTTCATCACATTATCTCCTTTTATATCTGATCTTGTTGGTCATTTTTCTGTTTAGTTTCTCTTTATCGACATACTTTTGAAGAAAATAGTAAATAACCCTTAACTTCATCAAACAATTGGATTTAGGGGAAGTAACTCCGATAAGGAGTCGATTCAGTAATGTCGTTAAAAGGTAATAGCTCTGTAATGAGTTGATTGACAATTGTGAGACAAGTATGGTCTCATTAACTTAGCAGTAGATCTTGTATTTACAAACTAAAAAATAGGTCACGGACAACTGCCATTCAAGGGCTAAAAATCCTTTGACGAGGTGGTTGTAGATTTCTACTGTGTTGTCTTATTTGTCAATTTGGTTTTGTTACCATAGTTTTATAATGTCGCTTACAGTTTTTCTCAATCAACAATAGTGTACGACAGAAAAAGGTTGAAAATCGCACAATGAAACTATATGAGATATCTTATAAAGTTTATTATATATCTTGAAGTTAGAATAAATAGTCAAACGGCTTGCCATACTTTCCAACTGTTTTGATTCGAGCGCTACAGATGAGTCTTATGTTGAAACGTGCGTCTTGTGTTCAAAATTGTAGGCCTGCATGGTATCTTTGGTGAGTTTTTTAGCCTTTTTTGGGGGGAAGGGTCACAATGGGTAAAACTATGTTTTTTTCTTTTGTTGTAAGGTTTAGTCTATTTCTACGCCTTTTTGCAGATGATACAATTCCATTTCTGGTTATATTATCATTAAATTTACTTATTATCATTAAATTTACTATTGACTACAAAACTCTTCAAAACGATCTTATCACACTGGGTACCGTTGGGGAAGTGTAATGACCATCAACCAAAGTTACACACACAACACCTTATATGGCCACACCCTCGGACGTGTAGACCGGGGTTAACAATCCCATCTGACCTAATATGACAAAGCCACATAACCAACACTACCATAAAGCAAACAGCACCAGAGTCGGATTTAGGGGGCGCCCGCCCCTCCCCCCTTTTCAAAAGGTGGGAAAAATTTGGTTGATTATTTAGGGAATCACTGAAGCATTACTAATCGGCCCCTCTTATGGCAGTCAGTGGGCCCCTTATGAAAATTTCTTAATCCGCCACTGAGCACACTTGGTTTCCTTAACCTTTACATCAGTTCCACCCCAGTAAAGGAACAGGCATATAAATCTTTGGTTAGACCATAACTTGAATATGCTTGTTCATTTTGGTACCCTTAATTTACTGTGAACATCAACAAAATAGAGTACAAAGAAGGTCTGTTAGGTTTTGTACTAAAAGACAAAAGAAACATCTCTAGTGTAAGTGACATGTTGAAGAGACCTAGCAGATAGAAGAATAGACACACGCTTTGTCATATTCTACAAATGAAATACGCACTCACTCTCATACCATCATACAGAACACACTGAATACGTCAACAATCATTCTTTCCACGAACGATAAAAACCTGGTCTATCACTGAACTTTATTATGCGTGGATTAGTGGGGATCCGGGATCCGCCCCCTGTTGGGGCAACCGGATATATGGTTAAAGCAAAGATTTTTTGCATGTCCAAATCGAAAGGTTGCCTTGTTTGCCCCCCCCCCCCCCCCCCAACCCCCTTTTGAAAATCCTGGATCCACATCTGGTTCCTTTGTCAATTAATGTTATATCAAACCATATTACGAATTGACAAAATCTTTACGATGTAACAAAACCACGTCAAGTTATGAAACCACTACATTACGATCAAGACACACACACACACACCGTGACACATCCAGAAATGTTAAATGGGATGT